CTTAGTATGACTTTATGGTCTCGGCGCCGTACGCCGTACTAAGCTGACAAAGGTAGATGGTGGTGAAAGCCAACGAGTGGTTGGGCACAAAGCGCGCACGCGCGTGGCGCCGACGCGTCGCGACGCGTCTTTCGATTAGCGCCCGCCGTCTGTCCAGAAATTGCCTCAAGTCTTGCATCGCACCCGTACCCGCTGACTGACTATCTACGTCACATTTAAGACAGAGATATATATAAGCGGTAGCTTCCTGAGCTCATATCCTTCATCGCATCCACTGCAACTGCCACCACCACTCCCGTCCCATTCAAACTCAACTTCACATCAACTCAAGATGGCCAACAACTGCAGCTGTGGCACCGCTTGGGCGTACGGCAACAACCTCCCCGACAAACCCGTCTCACTATGCTGACCCCCTCTCAAGCCCTTATGGCCCCTCAGTGGCTAACGATTCTGGCTGCACCTGCCAGGCCGGATCGTGCCAGTGCACGAACTGCCCCAACAAGGCTCATTCCGCTTCTGTGCGTGTTCGAGCATGATCACATCTGGAAACGCTGACGTCTTGAGCAGTGTGCGTGCAAGGGCGAAAGCAAAGACTGCGCTTGCGCGCGAGAGAGCAAGGCGCGCTCCTGCTCTTGAAGGAGGTGGTTTGTTGCAGAGCATGAGCGGCGGGTCGTCTCGAATCAGCGTGATGTAACTTTCAAAAAAAAATCAGGTCTGTTAGTAATGAGGAGAGCGATTGTATCGTTGTCGTGGTTAAGGGTATCCGGGCTGCTGTGCGTATAGGAAGGACGAGGCCGAGTACTTGTACACCTTGAACGCAACCAAACAGTTCATTGAGCACCCGTCCGTGCGCGTCGAGAAGTCGAGAGTCATACGCGCAACGTAAGCGAAGTTCGTGGTCGCTGAGATTCAGTCTGGTTATAGGATTGCGCTAGGTCGCTCACCCCCGAGACTTGCACGATAGCCTTCCACAGGGAACGGAACTGGTTGCAATCGTAATGCGGATGATGATACTCGTCCTGCAAGAAAAAACGGAGTGGCCCGTTGCCGAGTGCGGCATTCCCGCTCAACTTGCCTAATTCGGCCGTTCCCCTATACATTCCCCTTACATGAAGCCGGCAGCGTGGTCATATATAAATGACTCGTATGCTACGAAGCGGTCGTCAGCAACCCAGCTTGATACTAACTCTTGTAACATGTCTCCTACCAACAAAGCCCTTATCCTTCCCTCCAAGGACGCCGGCGAGTTCACGCTCGACAAGCGCCAAGTCCCCACTCCGGGTCCTGGTCAGCTCCTGGTCAAGGTGCACGCTGCCGCGTTGAACCCTGTCGACGACTGGATCCGCCGCATGGGCTTTCTCGTCGACCGCGCCGGCGGTTTCCCAGCCGTCCCGGGCAGGTAAATTGGCGAAGTATCATGATTCATGCACGGCTGACGAGCATCTAGTGATGGCGCTGGCACTATTGAGGCTATCGGCGAGGGCGTTGAAGGCTGGAGCAAGGGAGACCGAGTGTAAGCAGCGTTCAATCGCGATGGTTCGTGCAACTCACACTTGTAGGGTTTTCCATGGCTGGTGGTACCCGGACCACGGAACACTTCAGCAGTATTCGCTTGCCTTTGCTGATCGCACATGCAAGGTCAGTGCACATCGCATCTGTTGAGATGCATTCCTTTACCGTGGGCAGATCCCCGACAGTATGTCCTTCGACGCGGCCGCGACTATTCCGCTGGGCCTCGGAACGGCATCGGTCCCGATGTACAGCACGACCATCGACCTTCCGCCTCCTCATATGCCGGGAGGCAGCCTTAAGCTCACGCCTCCGTGGGTGGAAGGCGGTCTTGGTAAGTACGCCAGACAGCCTATCGTCGTGCTCGGAGGCTCGAGCTCTGTCGGGCAGTTCGGTACGCTATAATGCAATATGTTCTGTGAAGGCTGATGTTAGAACTCCTCGTCAGCACTTCAGTTGGCGAAGTTATCCGGTTTTTCGCCAATCATCACGACCGCATCCGCGCATAACGCCGAGTACTGCAAAGCTGCGGGCGCGACGCACGTCGTTGATTATCACGCCGTTCCGTACAGCGAGCTGGATCGCACCGTTGCGGAAATCACCAAAGAGCCCATCAAGGTCGTTTATGACGCCGTGTCGACACCCGAGTCGCAACCAGCTGCGTTGGCTCTGCTCGCATCGGGCGGTGGTATGGTCGTCACGGGTCCTTCGCAGGTCGGCACTGTGAACACGCGCGTCGCGGATGGCAAGCTGGTGGTTATGGCCACCGGGAATGTGAACGAGGTGCTCAAGCGCGAGTTCACGAACGAGATGTACGAGGCGCTGCCGGTTCTTCTGCGCGACGGGCATATCAAGGTCATTGATCTTAGTCTATCGCTCAGAATTCCTTTGCTTATGATAGCCTTCTGCAGCCAAATAATGTCGAGGTGGTAGTTGGAGGACTTGCGGGCGTGCGCGAGGCATTGCAGAGGGTTGTCAAGGGTGTGAGCGGTGTCAAGCTGATCGTGCATCCTCAAGAGACGGCTTGATTCACAGTAAGGCAACTGCACACAAAGCATTCGGTACAACTCAATCAAGTCAATTTATCTGTGAGAGTCCCCCACGAGTGTATATAAGTTTGCGCTCGTCACGTTGAGCACAGTGATTGCAACACACCTTGGCGACTATATCATGCCCGATCAGCGGCGGAGTACGAGCACGTCTACTAGTCCCTTGGCAGGCAAAGAAGAACATCTTCGCATCCCCGTGAGCATTCCTACAAATATTCGTTTGAGAGATCGAGTGCTCGTGCAAAGCCTCTGCGACCTCGCCAGTCAGCGCTCAGCGCCCAGAGACGCCGCTCGGATCAAGTACGAGCACACTCTCTCATCGCGACATTTGGTGGGGTACGGGACTCCGACTGCATTAAGAGACCCTTTCAGCTCTCAAACCGAATAAGAAATGTAGTCGTCGGGTTCAAGAGGTCTAAGAAGGCATAGCTTTCAGCGCTCATGGTTGTTCGAGGCAAGCTTGCTTGCGTGTGGATTGATCGGATGCTTCGGCCGGGAAGTGCCGATCGAGTCGTGCATTCAAAATATTCCAGTTCACCCGCTATCACCATGATTGAACCGCTTCCCTTGACGATACAGTCTCATCTCGCATGTGCACTATCGTCCGTGATATATGCACTGAGTATTGCTCTCGAGAGGTAGTGCTATGGGCTCCCTGGCATCAGCCGTCGCCTTGTGCTCGACGTCATCATCTGACAGCGTACTAGTGGTCCCCGCCTTTTCCGTGTTCAACCAGCTCTATCCAACAAGACTGCTCGGGTCTTGGCCTTACCATAGTAAACTCACGGTAGGAACAGTGGTAGGAACAGTGACGCGCACGACCACGCCGCTGCGGTTAAGATCACTTCTGGGTGCAATGCCTTCCTCTGCCTGCCAATATCCAATATCCAATGCCAGTCCTTCGATCTGAACCAATGGATTCTTCTGTCTTGTCGTGCATGCCACTGCATCGTTTCGTTTTTGTGGCTCTCCTTCAGTGCGTTACAGGCTCTGCCGGCCCGTCTTTGTCCGCAACAAGCTTTCATCACCTCTTTTGTTCTCCATCTTTGTACTATCTACTCTCTCACGGCCTGCATTCTCTCACAAGCTCGTAGCCGTGAGAATAACTTTGCAACGCCCACGCGACGCCCACACCACTTTTGGTGGGAGGCAAGGCTGTGGGTCCTCTGCAGTCCTAGGGACCGTTTTGTGTATAAAAGACTGCCCGCCCCGCCCCCTGCCTGCCCAAGATGCCAGTCCATCGCTCCCATATCCGCACCTTCGTAGACGAGCGGGTCTTCCCCGTACTTCTCAGGCGCGAGCCTTTCCTTCCTCGGGCGGCGCATGGCAGCGCGCTTGCCGCAGAGCCTTTGTATGGACTTGAACGGGCGAGGTGAACGTACGGACGCTCAACGTTCAGCCGTATCGCCAGAGGGTAAACAGCCGTGACGTCCATTTGCTGTCGTGGTCGGGCTGCCTCTTGTGCTTTCGAAGCCGGGGGCTCCGTATATGCGCCTCGTTCCGTTCGTCCGCTCTGGTCCGCAAGGACAGGTAGGGTGGCTTTGTTGCGATGAGAGATGGTCTGGGTGCGTTGCTCCGTCTCCGTTTCTCGCCCTCCCTAGTTAACTTATGTTCCCAGTCATCGTTCTTGTCGAGATCGCGCGCATATAGCCTTCTTCGGGTGTTGTCGGGCGACGCACCACCGCAGAGACTGGTATAGCCCGCGCCGCTATCGCGTGCGATGGCGGTGCGAGCTACTCCTGTGAGTCGTGCATGCCATCGCGTCTGCGTGCCGCTCTACGTTCAGCCGTATCGCCGGGAGGAAACGCCGAGCCAGCCGCAGCGTTCACCGAGTCGTCAGTGTCCGCAAGGCAACAGAGGCGGATGGCGCGCAACGTGAGCTACCCACTTGCAGTACTCCGAGCGCGTCATTACCTCTGGGACGGGCAGTCTCCTGTGCGTTCGATAGCCGAGGGTTGTGCACAGACGCGGGGCATGTGCGTCTGCTCTGGTCTTATCCGGGACAGGAAGGTCATGTTAGCGATCGACGATCCTTGCGACGGAGGATGTCGCAGTCGTCGCCCCTTGTTCCAAGACTGGACGTCTTCTGGTGTGTCTGTCCTTTCATTTCAGTACTAAACCTAAGGTTGTGTGGGGATGCCCACCTTCCTGCGGTCGAACTAGCCAGAGCAACGAGCTCGAAGGTTCCTGATGATGGCCCTCTGGCAGGGGCCGAAACTGCTTTTGCGATCGTGGTTGTATCTCTCCATACTTATCTGGCCCTATAATGATATACGAGTGACCAATACACGCCGCTTTCATGTGGGGACACATAATACCAGTGCATGGGAGCAAGATGAAAACATGTGTACCCAGAAAGAAGAAATGTCGCAACTATGCTGTTTAGCCACCGAAAAGTAAGAATACTTAATAATCAAGCAAAACAATCTTGACGTCTCTGTATTCGGATACGGGGAATCGAACCCCGAGCTGCCGCGTTCTGTTTGAGAGGCGGCAATGTTAGCCGTTACACCATATCCGACTGCAAGGGTGAGGCTAATAGTAATAACAGTTCTCGGAGGCCGCAGCCATTCAAGCGATTGTTCTAATCCCCAAGCGTCAAGCATGGCAACTTTTGCAGAACGATAGGGCGATGACCATACAACAAAGAACCCGGAGTTCTCCAGCAAGTAGTGGGAGGAACATGATGGTCGGAAGCAAAATCCAATTTAACCGCGGACGCGAACCCGTGACCGCGTCGATCGCGTCTTGACGAAAACCTTCTCACTTCTCACTCTCTTCCGCTCGCCTTCTCAGCCTACATACTTGCGATTGCATCGCCCAAAATAAGCTCTGTCATGGCGTCAACATCCAACGGGACGGGCCCCTCGCTGCCAGTTGTCTTCACGACTCAAACGCCGTACCCACTTCCGGCACAAAAATTCTTCATCCCAGCGGCATGGAAGCGCTACCAGCTTTCGCAGCTCGTGAACAAGGCTCTCGGCTTGCCGCGGGTCGTACCATTCGACTTTATTGTTGGCGGAGAGATTCTGAGGGGAAGCCTGGCGGAATGGACGGCGGAGAAGGGTCTGGGCGAGGTTTGTTTATCGTGTTTGTGTACACTGATTGTGGAAATGCTAAAGAGGTTGTACAGGAAGAGACGATACAGATCGAGTACATTGAGAGCGTAATGCCGCCTCAGCGGATGGCTGCACTGCCGCACGAGGACTGGGTATCATCTATATCTTGCCAGCTCCCAGGGTACGCGTGTTAATATGATTTTCTCTCGCTCCTTGTACTAAATGTTCGCGCAGGCACTTCTTGACCGGCTCATACGACGGCAACGTCCGCTTATTCTCTTATTCGCAATCTTTATTGCACACCGCACCGATACATGCTGCACCCATAACATCCGTCTCGCTCGTCCCCCAACCAACCGCATCGCCGTCCGAGAGCAATTCGACGCTCCTGGTCACAGGCTCGCACGACCTTACAGCTCGGCTGACGCGCATAACCCCCGCTTCAGAAGATGCTGCAGATAACGGCGAAACTCAAGTTCTCGCGTCCCTGCACCTGCATACCGCACCTGTATCCTCGGTCTCTGCCGACAGCACGGGCGCACATATCCTGACAGCATCCTGGGATGGAATGCTCGGTCTATGGGACACCATCATCCCTGAAAAGGATGAGACGCCCGCAGACCCGCAACCTGCACGGCAGAAAAAGCGTCGCCGGCTGGCGGGCGCAGAGGACGCGCCGAGGCGCAAGGCGCCGCTTGGTGTTATGCGTAGCCACACCGCACGCGTATCTGCCGCACTCTTTGCCGGCGATGGACAGGCAGTAAGCGCGGGCTTCGACTCGACTGTCCGCGTATGGGACATCGAGCGCCAGCTTTGCACGCACACCGTCTCTGCGTCCGAAAAACCATTCCTTGCGCTCGCATTGCCAGGCGGCACGGGTCAAACGGCGCTGGCAGGCGCGGCAGACCGCAGTGTCACATTATTCGACTTGAGGGCGGATGCGACGCAAATTGCGAGTGCGACTTTCTCGCATGCGGCAGCGCCTGCTGCGTTGGCGGTGTCCCCGAGCGCGGGCAGCCAGCAATTTGTTAGCGGAGGGTATGACGGAGTTGTGAGGTTATGGGATGCGAGGAGCGCGACAAAAGAGATGGCTAGCTTCAAGGTTTGGGAGGGCAAGGAGGGGCGCAAGGTTTTGGGTGTCGACTGGAATGGTGATGTAGTGGGCATCGCTGGCGAAGGGGGCGTTGAGGTGTGGAATGTTGTTGAGAGTAGAAGCTAGATTTCGGTTGCTTGACTGGTTGCTCAATATATTTCTTCCCGTGTACGAGCAGATATGAAGTGTGATTATGCGTGACAACAGTGACTATGTGTAAACGAGCAAACCTGCTCAAGTCAGTTGGACGAATCCTCGACGAGAAAGTTACCAAACGTACCAGCAGTATATAGGTTATGCAGGTTTAGGGCTTGAGCCGTGTTTCCCAATATTTGTACGTTCCCAGACGCCCTGTGCCATCTCTGCCCACTTCTCCTCGTCGTTTACAGCTTTCTTCTGCAAAGCTGTCGGTAAAGGTCACAAAAAGAGTAGGGAACGTAGGACGCACAACTGCTGGCTCGGTCTCGATTGATAATCCAGCTGCTTTGCGCTCCTCGAGAGCCTATCAAGAAGTTTGAGTTCCTGGTGATCCTAGTCGGACAGCTACCTGACGGCGCTAACCTCTGTACGCCCGGTTTAGAAATGGTGTGGATATATCCAGACTGGCACGTACCTTGTCCACGGCGAACAGTATCCTTAGTCACCGCTACGCCGGCACCTACGCCGAGCACACATATACCCGCGAGACTATATACCAGCGTGCGATGCAAGATGTCCGGTATTGGCAGCATACTGACGGTGAGAATCAAGACGCGACGCGTGCGGTCAAACGCGGTCGACGCGCGACGCGCTGACCCGCGGCTTGCCACCCGCGCTCACTAGGTTTCCCATCACACCTTTACCGTTGCACGAATGGATGGAGCTGAATCTACGACTGGCTCAACCATGTACGTCGTGATCTCATCCATACCTCAATGAGAGGTTGCTTACTTTTCATGCACAGTGGCATCGAGAATTCGAAGCTTCTTGAACGCTCGCTCTCCGCCTGGACCGCGCGTCAGGTCAATGAGCTTCATGTCCCACTTCTGCGACTGCCACAGGAGATAACTCGAATGATAATTCGCTTAGCAGCCACCTATCAACCAGAACCTCACTACACTGCCTATGCAATATTCCGAATCCACGACTGTCCGAGGACTCGCGCTATACCCTGGCTGCACCTGGGCCACATATGCAACAAGCTTCGCGAGACCCTTTTGGGTATGCGAGGACTGTGGGCGGAGGAAGCTTGCGCATACGAGCGTCTACATATCACCCGGGAGATCGTTCGACGCGCAGCTGGAACGCCACTTGATATCGCAATCCTTCACGATTCGATCCCTGATGATCTTGTAGAATTTCTGCTGCCCTATCTGGACAACGCGCGTTCTATCGAGATCGCATCCACACGAGTCCTCTTTAAGATACTGGAGAAGTTTGACGGCCTCCGTTTGCACATCGCCGAAAATCTCGTCCTCGATAACCGTTCCATGGCGTACCGAGCAAACGATAGCCGCGATATGACCAGCCCGACCGACGAATTTACACTTGGGTCTCTGGCTCAGCGTAGTTTTGACTGGATACTCACTGGATCCGTGATCCCCATGATTACGCCATGCCTGAGAAGCCTGCACTTGCTGAATATCATCGTGCCCTTCGATCCGAGCTATCTGCACGAGCTACGTCTCCAACTACCGGAGTCTGATGCCCCAGAGTGGTCAGGATATATTCTGGACACTCTGTGTCTCTGTTCAAGCTTACATGTATTGGACATTGGTGGCATGGAATTCCCACCTGAGTCGATCATTGCGAGCCCGATATCTCTCCCGCTTTTGGCCGACGTCGCTATGCGGGGTGACACCGCATGTGTATCATGGCTCTGGTCACAGGTCAGCGTACCTTTTGGTGCAAAAGTCAGAGTCGACATTGATGGCGATCTCGACCATCCCGAGGTGTGGGAGTTTATCTCTGCACTTGCTCGCCATGTCCTTCATGCCAGTGACGCACATCCTATCTCCGGTTTCGCCTTTCTTCTCGAGCCCACCGGTTACCTGTTACACTTCAAACTCTATGCGCACACGGAAGATCCCCTCGCGGAGACGAAAGAACACCGCTTCAACCCACTGCATCGTGGCCACCACTGCACTTTGAATGTTCAAGTGGCATGTGATATTGATATAGTCAGTCTCAAGAACCATTTGACTCGTCTCCGAGACCTGTTCGGGCTGGCGGCAGTGGAACACTTGACTATAGGCACGCTGGACAGATACGACGAAACGGGAGAGTCGGCTGTAGACTATGGCCAGTGGCTCTCCGCCTTCCGCGACGTACGCAACCTCTGCCTATCGCACTATCCGTCCCCCGCACCGGATTACTGCCTCCTCTACCCACATCTCAGGTCATTGGTTCTCTTACACGTGTTGCGCAAGGAAGACGAGCTGGACAAGGTAGCGAAGATGGTAGAGGAACGAGCAACCCACGGAATAGCATTCGCGGAGCTCAAGATCGCGTTCGACGACACGGAAACGCCTGATACGAATGGGAACCCGGATCTGCGCTTGTTCAAGTCCACCTTACGGAAGTTTGTGCCCTTGGTAGAGTTCGAGTCGCTTAACGAGTCATAAGAGCAGGGTAATTGGTGGCATATGTGTCCATACGTATAGCGGACCAATGCATACTGATATTATGGAGTTCGGGCAGTGGGGCGGGTATCTGAAGGCACGCGATGCTCGAGAGGGATACATTGAACTCGATCATACATTTTATGAGAATGAGCAACCGTTGAAACCCATCAATATCCGTTTTGCTTCTTCATCCCCGCCTATCTTCAGCATTCCCGGCCAGATTTGAGTATACGGGGGCCGAAGAAGCGTAAGAAGAGGTAGAAGACGTGATGCTTCCCATGTACAGAAGATGCAGGACTGAGATAGCAAACGAAGTTCGCAGTGCGTGTTGGCGCGATTGTACAGTCATGGTATTCAGAGCATTGCTGCCAGTGCATCATCTTACGTCCACACCCTTCTGTGTAAATTCTTCGAAAACACCATCAGCCCTTCCACGATTATATGACCATAGGTAGAGACAGAGAGAACGTGTGGGAGCAGGCTGAATGTGTATACAAACCCTGCTGGCGCCGACGATTCCCGTCAGATTTCCGGACACTGGATCTCAGCGCCGCCGCCGCCCGCTCGCGCTCTCGTGGAGCCACCGTTCCAAGTATTCCCTTTAGGATAGCCAAGGTTTGCAGCTGGTGACGTTACTTACGTGTTACGGTATTAGGTGTCATGTTTCAAGATGCCGCGCATCTACTACCATCATGTAGAGGTGAAGACTCTCATACACCATAACACCTGATCGTGGCAGCATTTCTTCGGACATCCGTACATATGC